CTGAATTTTTCGAAGTCTTTTTTATCATGTTTGCCAAACATTTCAAAAAAACTTCAATACAATTGACACATTGATTGGTAGATATACCAAAAGATTATGAATATGAACACTTCAAATAACTCAACCAATGATATGTCAACTGAAATTAAATCAATAATGTGATTTAGTAAATTTGATAGTCACTCTTAATTAATTAGAATTTAGTCAATCAAGGGATTTTGAGAGCAAAAAGTTATTTTTTAATATAAAATAGAAACAGCACTAGTAATTATTTAATTGATCACAATGGTGGCACATACTTTGTTAGCTTCTGTAATTGTTATCACAAAGAAAACTTGGATTAGTTTTAGGAATCACTAATCCACCAGGCAAAAGCTTGCCTAAGTAAAAGCATTAATTACAAAGTACATAAGTAAATGTCCTTTAAGATTATGTTTTTATATTTGTTTTCAAAGTACATGTTTACATAAATAATCATAATGTTAATTATTGAATCACTTTAGGTATTCAAATTCTCCATTTTTATTATTATTATTATATATATATACATATATATATATATATATATATATATAATTTAACTTATAAGCTTTGTTCTCTTTAATATTCAATAATGTGTTCAAAAAAAATAAAAACCTAGTTCGTAATCCTAAATTGGAAAATTAATCAATTCGGTTCTATTTAAAGAGTGATGACAATAAAGATAATTAAGTAGGTCCTATATTATTTTTTTCTGATATTTTTATGTACAAAGCCACAGGATCTTCAGTGAGTATTAAAAATAATTATAATATTGGAAAAAAAATAAGAAAGGTAGGGAGGTACCAATGATATATATATATATATATATATATATATATATATAATTTTGAAAAAAAAACAAAGCAACAACAGTGAATATTACTGAAAGAAATTGATAAACTGAATACAAAGATGGATGTTTTTATTTTTGATTATCAACATTATTATATTGTATGTGGCTTTGTGATTTTGAACAAAACTTTAAATTGTATAATTGACTGATTTGGACTTGATAAGTCATAGTAATTGATATCCAAATCTTTGTTTTGGAATTAGACATAAAACAAGAAAACCACATATTTGATTGCACATTGCATGTGCAAAAGCAAACACATTTTCTCCTACATACTATAAATCATTGTAACATCAGAAATATCAATATAGTAAAATTTCAAAATCATAATACACTTTAGTTCGTTCTGTGTATCCATTTATTTTTTAAATAAGTAATTAATTATTTGATAAGTTTTTCAAAATAGGAAATATGTAATAACATTATAGAAGAATCTTTGACTGAGAAGCTTTAAGAACATGCCAAGTTTATCTATTATATAAGGCAGCTCATCGGGAGACAACTACAAGGGATAAACAAGAAGTGATAAGAACCAGGTATCTCACGCGAGTTTGTTGTCTGTTCTATATCAACGGCCAACGCACACATCACCGAACACTGTGTGGATGCAGCCCCGAACACCTTCAACCTGCTCTTGAACCACAAGAATGGCGTTACAGTTGGATAATCATTGTTACAAGATTCTGTTGTTCACAAGTATTCTTCAACCACTAATCGAGATGGTGTAACCAAGTGTGCAGTGAGGCTCGATCGACACACCTTGGGTCCCTGGATCCTTTGTCTTTAGCATCACCTGGAGCACCGTGAGAGATTCTTTTGGCTACTCACTTCAAATTCTTCAAGCTTAATTCCCACGCTATGAGGGCACCCCAGTCAGTCATGGCCAACGACGAACACGCGCTGTTCCTTCAGATCGTCCAGGAGGCCAATCAAGTCGCTCACGACATGCTATGTAGTGTAGAGCCCCATGTCTGACGGGTCCTTAGACTCGCCATTCCCTCGCAAATCCGGTGCCACGACATGATATCCAGCCTCTACCAACGGAGGGATCTGATAGCGCCAACTATACCGAATATCAGAAAATCCATGTAGGAGTAGCACCGTCGGCCCCGTGCCCTGCTCGACGAAGTGCAGATCAATACCATTTGTCTTCATCGTTTGGTGCGTCAGCTTCGGCATCCACGCCGGTGTCTCCCTGGCTTCTCCTTCACAACTCTTCAGCTGGATCAATGAGAGCAACGCCGTGCGGCAACTTTGCACCCCTCCTTATGTGCAAATATGTGGCGTCAAATCATTTGTGTGCAAATGCATCGGCTTGTATACATTTCCAGCGCCTTCGAAGCAGACCATGCCGAGGACGCTGACCATGCGAGTGCCTAGAGTCATTGGCGCACCCAAATGCTAAAATCTTTTTGTAGAGAACTAGATGTGCAAAGAAAAATAGTTTTTATAGATTTCCTTGATACCAATTAACGACTATTTTTTAGGAGTGGTCAATTTTTGACTTAGCAACAGCAAATTAAACTTTTACACTTTTTTGTAACCAAGCTGATGGATTTCACTAGTGAATATATATATATATATATATATATATATATATACACATATATACACACTCATATATACATACAAATTAACACTAAGGACATAATGATACATGTCTTACAAGAATGCTAAATGATTGTTGATAGCCTCAAACAATACCCAAAACAAATCACAATATCACACAAATTTTTACTAAAATCCAAGCTACCTAACCTTATCTACAAATCCTATTCTTTTTGACACATTTTTTCCTCTTATTCTTTGCTTATATCTTTTGATTGGTTATATCAAATAATTAAAAAAAAAACAAACAAACAAACAAACAAACAAACAAACAAATGGAACACCTTGTCACTTATAAGCATTTATTTATTTTCTTTTAGATTAGTTTTTTTTTTTTTTTTTTTTTTTTTTCCATTTTTCCTTGTCAATTGTTGTATTATCAAACTATAGGTCTTAAGTTAACAAAAATACAAATTACACTTGGATTGTAAGAAATCTAGCATTTAACATTGGAATTTTTTCCAGGTTTTTTGTTCCCTTGTGCCAAAAAAGAATCATTCATTATCTCTGTAACTATTGCCACTCCATAAGTTTGCTAGGTTGAGCAATGCATCAAGTGATACATTATACCATAAGATTCAAAAAAGAAAACAAGTGCAAATGCAGTAACTCTAGAACATTGTATTGTTATTAATATAAACATGACTGTACTAAATTCTAGGTACTAAATTCTAGGCCTACACTTGCTTGTCCTCCCTCTTTGTTGTGAACAAACACAACACAAAAAACAAATTGTGTTTTCAAGACTCTCATTGTGTAACATGCAATACTTGAACAATTACTTGTATAAACATATATAATAGCATTGGAGTTCCTTATTTTTTTTTGGAAATAATTTGTTAGAGCAATAGGACCTTAAATGCTTCTCAAGAAGTTAAAATTAATTGTTCTTTAAATAACATCATAGCAATGAAATTGAATTAAATAACCACTTCAAAGTGGAAACACACGACATGATTAAAACCTATGGGGTTTGACTCTTGATTTTAGATTTGGATGTTGAATCTAATTCTCCCTTTCTTATGTATTGATAAACTTAAGAGAGAAAAAAATTGGTCAATAATTTTGGAATTCTTTTTGAACAAAAACATAAATAGTTGACTTCTTAGATGGATATGTTCAAGGAAATACAAATACACAAATATACATACACATTTTATGATTCATTGAAAAAAAAATTATATCATTTATGGTAGCTAATGTAATTAAAACCAAGATTAAATTAATTCTAAATCTGTCGATTACTTTCAAAAAAGATAAATTTCAGACATTTGTAAGGGAAGATTCGCAAAATTGCCACTTAAATTTCTGTCTACAGCATTTATTTATTTCAACTTGTGTGATGATTTAGTGCTCCTTACATCACTATTTGTAACAACATGATATAATATATAAATAAATTAAAATTGATGTTATATGTAGTACTAAAATAATAATTTAAAATTCAAAATTGATAAATATTTTTAAATCATGAAAACAAAAAACTTGATACAAGAAAGACTTTTCAGCTGCACAGAGTTGATGTTTCTTTTTAATATTTTGAATTCAGAGTGAATCCATGAAATGTTTCTGAAAGCCTGACAAGATTCAATAATTTTCTCCCTGTATATAAATATTTACATACATTTGGTACAGTACATATGACTAATATTTTAATTTCACAAAATAAATTATCACTAAAAATATAAAAAATGCTTGGGTTTCATTATGTAGTTGATAAATAGTCAGACATCACATTCATTTATAAGTATTGCCAATTGACTTCCCATAAATGAACGCACTTATTTTCAGTTGATTGCTTCACAACAAGAAATATTCTTCCCTATAAATACAAGAATTCTATTTGTATTAAAGATGCTCGAAGGGGGTCTTTATTCTTAAAGGAAAAACCTGCAGGGAACAACTTTTTAAAACCTTTCATTGGGTAATATCTAGAGACTTCTCAATTGACAAGGGTATTATTTCTTTTGCAATAATCAAAATATTGAAGTCACTCACATTTATGAGTTCCAATAAAGTCATCTACATAATAGCGCTATTTAAAGCAAAGCACAATACTTTTATCAATCTCTTCACTTTCCAAGCATCGTTAATCCCTGCATTATTTCCCAGTTCTTTCAGGTGTGAAAAGGGTCCTGAATACCAACAAAAAAACACACACATAAAAAAAAAGTATAAAAAAGTTGTAAAGCTAAAGCTTTACCAAACAACATAAGTCTCGATGAATGAAACCATAACACATCCACAGTTTCATCTACAATACGTAGGCGTTCGTCCACAAATATCATCCAAATATGAAAAAATCCGAAGAGATCGCGAACCACGAACTCACGGGGAAGCACAACGAAGCAGTAGGTACCGCCATCAAAAGCCGGATAGGAATCCAGGTGGTACCACCCGGGCAAATTGGAACGTTAGGAAGTTACTACCAGGTCACTACTATTCGCGGGAATAGTAAATGACTAAATTCGGCGCTTCATATGGCTTCACCCGCCGCGACTGTGTTCCCAATGCCGGGGAATGGCAGCCAGGCAAGGCAGCCTTAGAAATAAAGAAGCCATGGAAGTAATTGTAGTAGTAGCTGTGCTGCAGCAGCAATGCTGCGTTGGCGAGGATTGATTACTCCGTGCGATCGATCGCTGCTATAGCCGATTCCTCCTCCCCTTGCAATGTCGTTGTTGTTGCTGCTGCTTTGTCCACTTTGATTAGCGCGTTTAGCGTTCTATTCCGTAGCGCCTCACGGTGTCGTTACGCCCTCGTTCTTTCGCCATGTACCTCGGCGGATCTTGGTTTGAGCGCATCCAGAGGCTATTTTCGCTTTGTTTTCGGGAATGGTAGCGTGTGCAGCGAGCGTTCTGGCCTTCGCGTTGAGGTTGACGCTTGTTAAGGAGATCGGAGTAGTCGGTTGTGGCGTTTGTTAGGAGTTTTATCGTGTTCGGATTGAAGGGAAGCGTGTATTGCTGCATCAGAGTTGAAGGTGTGAGACGCGGTTTGTGTGAGTCCGAGGTGTTTGGTTACTCTGATAGCTTGTCTGCTCACAGTTTTTTGGAATCGGATTCCGTACGCGAGGTTAATCGATGTCGTTCATGCCTTTCGCCATTCCCGGAGTTAGCGCAGTTTTTGACGGCATATCAACCCGTGTGGAGGATTTTGCGGGAATTTGAACCATGGAGGCCTGCCGGATGTGTTGTGCGGACTCTGCATGAGTTGAGAGAATATATTTCATGCGGAGAATTTACCGGAATTCGTAGTGAGGATCCAGGGATTCTACATATGAGAATCTTCGCACACAAGTATTCTCACTTCGTGAGAGTGAAGACAAGGGCGGTGGTGCAGATATCTACTAGGAGCAGGTGTGTTTGCTTCAAGGCATTGTGATGGTTAAGTTGGCGTCGTACGAACCACTTGAGGGGGTGTCTTGCCCACCCTCTCCGTCCTCGCCCCGATTGAGGAGGAAAGGATGTGGACCTTGTGGCGGAATTCCAGGTGCACGATGGCTGAGCAAATCCTTGAAGGAGAAACGCAACGGTGCAATTATACGCAAAGCAGACGGGTACAGGCGGAGCAAGAAGCGGGGTCGAGACGTCGAGGGAGAGGTCGAGGCAGAGATTGAGTTGAATCGAGATGCACTCATGGATTCGGACGGGGAGAGTGACAGGGGAGTTCCAGCATACGCTGGATGGGTCTATCATGTCGGAACAAATTCGTTAGGTTACCAGTTCTGCACCGAGCGGTTTCTGGTCATCAAGGGACATTACGTGACCATGTTCAAGCGCAACCCTGTCGAGTACCCACGCGCTGTATGTCCTCGCTTCCCATCTGCTACCCTTTTTCCCTGTTTAAAAGCTGAACGTGACCAATATCATTTTCTGCATTCAGTTTCCAAATAAGGGACCTTATTTAGGGTCACTGATAGCACAACCGGGACTCGGTATTTGATGTTCTACGGTACCACCCTGCTTCTTTGATGGACAGGTCTGTGAATTGGATAATAAGCTTTCAGTTGGACTTGCTTCGTAATTGAAACTAATTGTAGGAATCTGAGCTGCTTCAACCCATACTGGGATGTAGAATCATAACAATGTAGACGTTTTTCATCGAGACGTGTATCAGTGAGTATTTCTTCGTGTTTCTGCTCTCCAGGTTCCTATCAGAAGTGGTATTGTTGGAACTCATTTGATGGTGGAGGAAGTGGGACGTCAAATTTACCAAGGAAGGGTATGCTTTAAACATTGAGCTTATGTGTTTTGTTGTGTTTCGTAACGGCCCCGAATATCCCTATGTGAGCTGTGATGTGAGTGAATATAATATGTTGAAGCCTCCGAGCTTTTAGTCATTATTCTCTGTCTGATAGCCCGTTGATTAATTTTGCAGGCTCTGTATGTTATGCGGATTTTCAATCGCCTGGACCACAGCAGGCAAGGAGAGGTAAATAGCTGTTACTGACTTCGCGGTATCAGACAAGTTTTGACATTTCTTTTGAGCAATTGCCCAGTATGTCTGAAGTCGCTCAGGTTGGTTTAAAAGAATTACGGACGATTGGTCATTTAATCACACGCCTGTTTCTGTTGAGCAGTTTGCATGTAACACTGCCGAGGAAGTTGTCAAATGGGTGTCTGCTTTCAAGCATGCCAAAGAAGAGGTAAACTACCTCTCTTTACACTTGATAGGCTTCGTCATGTTCCTCCTCTCTGCTACTCCTATTGGTCGAAGCTTTTAATAACTTGTTCGTTCAGCATGTGAAAATCAATTTCTTACATGGGTGAGAATATTCGTTTTCTTTATGCAGGCTAGTTTCTCTAGTGAGCGGATTGGCACCGGCCGCAGAATCATCAACGGCGACGATGAGTAAGTTTTAGCGTCAAACTTTGGGTTTGGATTTCGACAAATTCTGGCTGCGACTTCATCATAACTAGTTGCTTGACTGTTCAGACAGGAATTGTAAACGTGAATAACTTCCATAGTACCCCTAATAATTATTGTCTTTTTGATAGATTTGATATAAATAGGCCTCGAACACATGCAAGGTCCGTCACAAGAGGCATTGGCAAGCTTATCACAATTGGCAAAGGTAATGTCGCACAAAGTTTCATCTTTCTTTTGCGTGATGATTTGAGAGCTGAATTATTGCTTAGTCTCGTTTCTTCATCGATTGAAATTCTGTCTTCTAAATATCATCTGCACTTTTCTCTGAGTATAGGGCCATTGAGGCGGCCATCGATAGTTTCGCCGCAGGAACTTGATTCAGAAGGATATTACAACCATCGGGAGGGAGATACGTTTGAACATGCTGATTGGAGATGCTTCTGCACTGTCAATGGTGATAATCTTTGATCCCAATCGATTCACGTGTCACAATCATTAGTATTGGACAGCGTTATTTATTTGACTCTGACTTTGCTCGAGTTAGCATCAAGAGTAACCATGCCAATGTTTTGTCAATGAATTGATGGTGTTGAATTCTGACTACTATTGTGAAATTCTTAATAATCTGAGTCGCTAAGCAGGTCTAAATTCTACTAACAGCATCTTCTGCTACCTTATGTGCATGTGCACATTTTTTGTGAAATTTTTGAGAAGTGCAATTGAGTATGCTTAAGAAGCAGCCTTCTTACTGATTTATTTGGGATGTCTCGGTTAAACAGGACTTCGAATCTTTGAAGACATTACAGCCTCCAAGGTAATCTGAGCTTCCCTCTTAGTGTGCTGGTGTATTTTATTCACGTTTCTTCTTGGAGTCGACTGCTAATCATTTAAGTGCTTATCAAATTTTACCATACCTGTCTTTCATGTATTCAGGCTGAGAAAGGTACAATAATGAAGGCGGTTGGTGTGATAGAAGCCACTCCTGAAGCAATTTTCGAGCAGATTATGAGCTTGGACAGTGTCCTTCGATACCAGTAAGTTTTTTAGTAGCTTTCTGTTTATCACTGCAGTTACTCGAATGGAAAATGAAATTTACGTAATTAATTTAATCGTTAAGCATTGTGGATGTATTGCTTGTAATAACACTTCGAGCAGGGCTGATAACAGTATCATACTTAAGAGACATAGTCGCAAAATACCTGTATGAAGGACTAGTTCAATGGCTCAACTTGAAAGAGGTCAGCTTAGAGGGATTGCAGTTAAATCTCTTGGTAAATAGCAAAGGGTGCTGCAATTAGTTCTGAAATCTCAGGAACATCTTCATGGCTTGTACTCCACAGATGGGATACTCTGACCGGCAACGTGGAACTCGTGGAGCAAATTGATGGGCATTCAGACATCGTTTATGGCTCATTAGACCCCAAGTATTTCAAGAGGCATGATTCTGAACCTCATTGCCGTGGTTTTCAAATGAAATCATTTTTTTTCATCAATGCAGTGTTTTATTCCGTACAACGGCGTTTATGTCAAGGCTGGTTGACTTGCGGTAACGTCTCGTCTGGATTTACTAGTGTATCTTGTTTACATGGTCGGAATACCAGGTGATCTAAATACCAGGTTGAATGGTGCAGGTTTCATGGTAGGCGAGACTTTCTTTTCTCAAGGTACTGGCGGCGCGACCAGGATGGATCCTACTGTGAGTACTTTCCGTGGACATATAAATATGATGAATAAGTTTTTGCCCTAAAACTTTGTGGCAGTGTCAAGTTGGTTCATAAACTGTAGTTCACATAAGTATTCGTGGGTTAGCACTTTCATGAGTTCACTGTGCGACTGTTCACATTAAGATGCACGGTTTTGGCTATGTTCTTACATCGAAATCACAGAGAGAGCTGCTAGTTTCTGTAACTTATTTGCCAGGAACAAAAAAGGGTTTTCTCCTGAGAACTTCGGTTCCAATTGTAACAATTGGGTTGGTTGCAGCTATTACACAGGTTTCAACCACTCACAAAAGTCGGCCAGCCAAACCTGGTTTCCAGCGGATTGACCTGAGTCGTAAGCCTTAACTTCGTCAACACTCTGTGTGAATCATGTTCAAGCGATGTATGTTTATTGCAGTTGGCATCTCGCACTATCTTGACTTGTGACACTGTATCAGTTTAGAAATGTGCGGAGCCTCTCTTACATACCATGTGTTATATTGATCAAACACTGTTGGGACATGCAGCGGGTATCTGGGAGATAACTCCCTTGCCACCTAGGCCTGGTTCTGGGTCTCCTCGGTCGCTGGTCACACAAGTAGTGGAAGTGAAGTCCACTGGATGGGGCCGATGGAAGCGATGTCACTACTCCAAATTTCAAAAGACTATTCCCTTCATTCTGCTTTGCCGAATAGCAGGTCAGCTTCTCACTATTTTTGGCCTTGCTGGATGATTTTTTCACCAATTGTGTGTTACTTTTAAGTTATTTGGTTATTTGAGTTTCGTTGGGCCTGTGAACTTAGGCTTGAGAGAACTGTTTGGTGCAAATCCCGAGCTCGTCATTGAGGAAGTCCAAGCCAAAAAGAGGCTGATGAAAGAGGTAAACATGGTGCTCAACGTATCTGATCCTGCGCTAGAGGTAGCCTCTCCAATTTTGATGAAGTCTCCAAGAGAATCGGCCATACGTGAGTCTAAAGAAGAGTTTTATGATGCAATTATGGCTGATGATCCTGATGACGAAGAAGATGAAGACGAAGGCGATGAAGAAAACGGGCTAGTCAGCAAACATCCGGTATGTCCGTTGCTTGTGTTTATTTCTTTCAGTCATGACAGCACTTCTTTTCCCTAGATAAAGTTGCATTATCCCTGATAGCCACTGAGTTTTGTTTTCTTGAGTAATCCAGATTGTGGAAGGGAATTCAACTGCTTCACCTCAACCGCAGTTTTTCTTACACTTTCGTCTGCTGCATGACCTGGAGCCACTCGCTCCCGTTAGTAGCTGGCTTGTCACTGGTCTTTTAGCCACAAATCTCCAACCTAATGAACTTTGTTTATATTCATATACAGACAGCGGGCCAAAAATTTAAAGGACTTTCTTGGGGCGTTGTACTCGGTTTGTCTGCTAAGAAGTTACCATGTAAGTCTTCCTTCCTGAAGTTTCTTGTGGGTTTTTGTTAGAGCCCGAAAGAGAAAAATGATTCTATTTAATTTTTGGGGGTTCATTCATTGTGCTCGTCTGCCATTTTTACTTCTTTTCCGACTTGTTCCCTGGTTCTAGAAGTCTCATATTAAGTCACGTTTTGCAGCAACTAGATGTAGCCAAGAACTTGATTGGAATGCGTCATCCTTGGAGCTGGATCCTAATATGTTCTATTCATCATTGAAGAGAACTGTAAATGATCAAGAATGTAGTGGATGGTCTGATCCTGGGGGAAAGGGATTCATGGTTCGTGGTGTAACATACAATGACGACAATCTAAAGGTTCGCATTGCTGTCTTTTTTCTAATCTTCACTTGAAACTTTTACGCCATAGTCTATTCGCTACGACGTTTGCGGATGTATTCTGATCAGACAGCTAGTCTCTAAATTGCAGCCTGTACTGAAATTCGCGGATTTTTTTATCAGATATCTGGTGGAGAACCTCTTCTGAATCTGCTTGCTGTGGATTGGCTGAAGTCCGATCACAGGATCGACCACATTGCTTTGCAATCTAGCTGCTGTGTGCAGGTAAGCTTAAGAGTGAATTTCCTTGGCATGTGAATCCTTTATCGAGGCATTTTAACGCTGGACTCCAGCCTTCTTCATACTGCGCGTGACACCTATGTGAAAAGAAGTTACCTCATCTGGGCTGCGTTTTCTTTTCTTGTGTACCAGTCTGTAGCGGGAAGGAAAGCGCCATTTATCCTTGTAATCAATCTACAGGTAATTTTGACTCACTCTCTGAGGGAGACCAAGTATCAGTTGCACGACTGAATTTGTGGAATGCCTAAAAAATCATGCTAATTTGCTTCCTTAGAGCCTGTCCCTTCAAATTTTGCAGGTCTTTATACTTAATCAGAAGCAACCAGCTCTTGCCATGCTTGTGTCGCTATTGAAGATTCTAACCAATGTGTTTGTATTGACAGGTTCCTGCGAAGCCCAATTATAGCCTGGTTATGTACTTCGTTGCTGACAGACCAATTCAACCAGGATCACTCCTTGATCAGTTTGCTAATGGGGATGATGCTTTTCGGAATTCTCGATTCAAACTCATCCCCAGTATTGTAGAGGTATGGCCAGCTTTGCCAAAACTATTATCATTATAATACAACATCATGGCTACAGATTTCTTTCATGTCATCTTTTTATTGTCCTTGCCTTACCATGCCCATGCTGTATCCTGCCACGGAATTTGTTCACAATGCTGCTTGTCCTGCCTCTTCTGGTTTCATACACCGTTAAGTTCTATAATGCGTGCAGTGTCAAGGTCCTAACGTTCCGTTTCTTCTCCAGGGTTACTGGATGGTGAAACGTGCTGTTGGTACAAAAGCTTGTCTGCTGGGTAAAGCTGTTACTTGCAATTACTTGCGTAAAGACAATTTCCTTGAGGTACTTCAATCCACTACATTTTCTGTATGGAAGCTAAATGCTCTACCAAGCTTTTATTAGGGTCTCCTTTTTAGTGTTTTTCCAAACGCAATGAAAAATATTACTCTGGTATCGAGTCTCACCTGCTTCTGATTTTTACAGAACTGGTTTCTCTAACCTATTGAATTGTCTCCAGATTGACGTGGATATTGGGTCGTCATCAGTGGCACGGAGTGTGGTAGGATTAGCTCTGGGTTATGTGACAAGCCTCGTTGTGGACCTTGCAATCCTCATTGAGGTGTGCATTCTCATTCCAGTCTTTCTCAACTCTTTACTCTTAATTAAACATTTGTAGGGGCTCATCGATTTTTCCTTGTATGTAAGACCTGACCAACATCTTGTTTCGTACTAATCTCGATTTTCTTACCGTGTTTGTTACAGGCCAAAAGCGCACACGAGCTTCCAGAGTATTTGCTAGGTACAATGAGGATAAATCGAATCAAGGCCGAGTCTGCAGCACAATTTGTAGGAGACACCCCAGCCTGTTGATCGTTGGCCCAATTTTCCAGCATCGGCCAAATGGCAGTTGCAATGAATTCGTCGCATTATTCTTTAAACTTTCTGTACCATAGTTAATATCTTTTAGCAAGGAAACTATTTTTGGTTTATTCTGTTTTCGATTTACATTCTTTGATTCACGAGTTTCTTCCATGAGACTTCTGGATCCATCACTGGGTTCCTGAGAAGAACTTGATGTTAAGAGTATTTCCTTCATATATACATGCTAAAATTCGTTAGGTCAGCTTTGCAGTCTGGCCGCGTCCTGTTGGTATCCTTTCTCGTCACCACTGGTGAAGCACTCTCCATTTTCGTATGTCTTCCTTCTTGAATGCGCCATCCGGCTTTGTCGCCATTGCAGCCAATTTCCCCTGTCCAACCCCCTCATGTCGGTGGGCCAAGTCATGTCATTGCGTGTAATGTACCTCCCTTTTTAAAATTCATGTTATTTTGCACGTGACTACATTAATTGTGCAATTGTAAAATAGGAAGAACGTATTCATCCAATACTCCCACTTGTTCACGTCGACTTTCTACAGCCAAATGTAATAATATTACTTCCACTCGACCGCTGTTGAAAGTTGTGACACTAGGTAAAAAATGTAGTTGAACAAGTCAATCTTGCTGGAGAGCCTTTGTGAAAATATCAACAATTTGGTTGTGAGCTGGAATGTATTGGAAGTCATCCACATAGATGCCAAAAATAGTATAAAGAGAGGTCTTGTAATAGAAGTATATACAAGGGTTAGCAATTAAGAAAAAAAAATTAAATTATTTTAAAAAGATATCAATTTTTTTGTTCTATTGGCAAAGACTATTCTTAAGGCTATAGATACTCTTTTCTAATCACCAAAATAATTGGGTTGAAGTAGATTGTTCAAAGCCTTGTATTTGATGTATATATATTTCTTTTTATAAATCATCATTTAAGAAGGTTGTACCAATATCCAACTTCTTGATATCAATATCTTAAGCAACAACAATAGCAAGAAGGATGCAAATAGAGTGATGTTTAACTATTGGATTGAATGTCTTAATTAATTTGTATCAAGTTTTTAAATAAATATTTTTGCTACAAGCTAGGCTTTTTATTTTTATAATTCCTTATTAGAATTATATTTAATTTTATAAATATACTTATAATAGATGGCTTTTGTGTAAGTAGAAGTGATTCTAGATTCCAAGTGTGATTTTTGAGCAAGGAGGTTTATTCAACTTACATAACCACCAACCATTGAGCAATATTATTGAAAGTAAGAGCTTTTCAACATGTTTGTGGTTTTTGAAAAGACTCATGGATAGCCACAAGACACACAATTGACTTAGAAGATGAATGAATACAAATATTTGATGTAGATGAAGATGTAGTATTTAAAATGTTGAAAATAGAATAATAACATTGATAGAAGGAGGGAGGGGAGAGAGAAATCTTATGTTGGATTGTCCAAAAAATTTAAAACAAACTTAAATAAAGAAGAATAATTTATGTTACTTTGGAGGAGTTTAAATTTTTATTGTTATAAAATAATTTAGATTGAATTGGATTAGATGAGTCATAATAGCAATGTTTTTGGAGCAAAATTTATTTTATATGAGGTCATTGAAGAAGGAATCAAATCAAAATATACTAATAAAAATGGCAAGGGATGAAAAGTAAGAAAGTATTAGAATTAAATCTTCTTAATGTTATAATCAATATAACATTGGAGCTCTCAATAATGTTATTTAGCATGGGATTTTAGAAATGCTATACTTTAGTAGTCATAAAGTAGCTACCAAATACCATTGAGATACTTTTTGCTCCATGTTTTATTTATTTTATTTTATTTTATTGATATATATATATATATATATATATATATATATATATATATATATATATATATATGCAAGTGATCCAAATATTTTGTAATAAAAATCTAAAGGTTTATAACCAAACCACTTTTTGAAATGAATTTGAACAATAATTTGTGAATTGATAGTTGTATTTAAAATATATATTATTATATTAATAACTTTGGACCTATATATATATATATATATATATATATATATATATATATTGAAATTCGAATCATAATATTTTGATTCCTAATTAATTTGAAAATACTTTATAGAAGTAAATAAGTCACAATAGATGAAGTTGATGGTTTGTAAAAAAATGATTAATATTTTTAGTTTTTTTAAAAAAATTAAAAGAATTAATATAAATTTGTATCATCTTTTAGTAACAAAAAAAAAATATTAAGAACCAAAAATGGATAGAACGTTCAATTCTTTGATATGTCTCTATACAAAAATCCTCCCAAAACTTTGATTTTGATTTAAGTCAATAATTTTGATTAAAGCCAATAAATAGTCTATTTATTTGATGTACTTCCAAAGCATACAACTATAATGCAAAAAAGAAGTTACCATTTTATTTCCAAGAATAAAATTAAAAAAAGAATTATGGTTAAATATTTTCTTGATTGTTGTAATATTAACATGTGTCATTTTCTTGTTCCAAAGATTAATATATTGCAATCAAAATTATTAGAATATAACACTAGTAGAAGGTAGTATTTAAAAATAATAAAAATATTGTTGATACTTTTATAAAGAGACTAGATTTGGATGAGGTTGATGAGAAGTTTAACCAAATAACTTCAATGAGAAGTTGATAGTGCTGGTTAACTTATTTTCTTTTAAGAATTGTATCACCAAATTTTAATTTTTTTTTATAAAATCCAAAAATAGTGATGAAAGAAGTTCCATCTTCAAACACAATTCTAAAAAAAAATATATTTTAAACAAGTAATGGAATAAAAATAACTTTATTTAATAATCTATATAAAGAAGCATTAATAACTTATTAGATAATACAAATGGTTTTGCGACCTTAAGTACATAGAGTGTGGTTGTTGACTCTTGTTATGGACCATTGACCTTCAAAGATAGGTGCAAAGGTATCAAACCAATCACATCAATTTGTCACATATTTGTTGCATGTAGAGTCTACATACCAAAAGTTGTCATTAGAGCTAAAAGAATATGTATGAGATGATGAACTAAAAGTGATGAATGCAAAATCAGAACTCTCCTAATTAGAGTTAGTTTGTAGTTTTTCATGTATAATAATGCTACCATTATCTAAAATAAAATGATAATATAAACTCTCTAAAATGTTGGCCTTCGTGATAAAATGTGGTGATAAAAAATATTATTTATTATTTTTTTCTTTAATTTAGAATAATTAGCAAACCAATGGTTTTTGTTGATATAATTAAAACATCAAGTATGGCTTTTGAGATTGCAAATATACTAAATGAATTTTTAATGTTGATTAGGGTAGTTCAACTAAATAACTTTTGGAGCTTATCTTTGGATAAAAAAACAACACCATGAAGACTATTTTAATCACCTTATAATTGAAGGAGGTTTTTGTGCTAAACTAGACATTTTTATAAAATAAGAATAATCTATTAATCTTTCAAGACATTAGCCTAAGTTATTGTAAGGATTTGAAAGACTTGACCTTTGCACTTGCTTGAGCTAAGTGTCAACTAACGATTCTTCAATGCCCAAGGAGAATCCAAGGCATAGTAGTAACAGAGTGGTTAGAAGGGCCATCTTCTTCATCTTAAGATAAATCTCATATGAGGGTTTGAGGTAAGCTAAGAAATACTTTAATTCTAGTATGTTCTAATTGCTTAAGTGAAGCATAAGTCATGTGGCTTAGGCATCTCGAAGGACAAAGTAGCTTAGGTAGATTAGGAGGTGATTTGAGAGACAAGAGACATCTCCTTAGTCAACTCATAATGAGTGATATTAGATTGGTGATCCGACCCTCTATAATAGAATAGGCTCGAGGTGATTGTATATTCCTTCCAAGAGATAAAATGTAATGATATGTGTATCATGGTGGCTAGTGATTGCAATGCAGCACAAGTAGGCATTACATCCTAAGGTTGCATTACCCCCAAGAGTTGTGATCTAATACAGTTCAGTGTTTAGATAGACTCAAGAATTTATAGAGGTTGGTTAGATTCTTTTCTGCAATGTTTTTTTGTAAGTAATATTATCTTGGTGGAATTTTTAGGTGATTAGAGGTACCCTATGAATAGACAACATTATATGTGATATCAGAGTCTTGTGGTCTCTAAACTTTATTTGTCTTACACACTCTAATACCACATATAATTTTAACTTACAGACAAAAGAAAAACTTTGAATTTTTACTAATTTTAGTATATGTGCTAAAATAAATCAACTATAGAAGTGGAGAGTCATAAAGCACAAGAGAACCACAAAGAAGTTTCTTAAGGAATTGGAGCACTAACATTTAGTTAATGACATTGAAAACGATATGGATAAAATCAAAACTTTGTTGGCTTTACTATAAAGAAGTGCATTGGATTGGTTAGACAGAGAAATCAAAGCCAATTCAAACCATATTAAAGAAACTACTTGGAAAAAAGTTTGTGAGAGGCTCATAGAAAAATTTGAGAGCAAGTAAAAAAAAACTTTATTAAAAGGTTGCAATTGCTCAAGCTCAAGTAAGAAGCAAGTAAATCCTCTCTTTTAAAGTATGTTGATAACTTCAAAAATCAATTGGCATACATAGCTAAACTACAAGAAATGCTTAATGCTTTTTTTCTACAATAAATTGAGTGTAACGATTAAAAAGAATTTTTTGAAAGAAAAATCATCTCCTCCAATGTAAAGAATGCAATTGCTTTAGCATCACAATTAGAGATGGAAGTATAGAAGGCTAGCTAAAGCAAATCAATCATGATGATTTGGACTTGGAAAGAGAAACCTAACTTTCAAGGGAGAGCAAAGCCCTTTTAGAGTAATAAATGACATCTATTTTCATATTATAATACGACTATATGATAAAAATATAATATGAATGTACAATTTAAATATCTTGAACATAGTTGATACTAGGATTAAATTAAAGGTAGGATTGGACTAAAAAGTGTGAAAGATAGATTAGATTGATATCTAGGAGTCAACCGTTTATGAGACATGATTGAAATCAGCCCTTAAGCCACTAAAATGATTACCGAGGGAAAAATAAAAAGACATTTGAAGATCGGCAATTAGAATTGAAGAGATAGCTTAGAGCTTCTTTCAGAGACATAAGACTTATTTTTATAAGATTTTGTTTGACTTTGTAATTTTTTTTGAAAGTCAAAGTTTGTATTGGTGACTTGGAATTTATGCAATACAATTAGGGCTAGCACTCTCAGCTAATTCATAAAATTAATCTCACATCTATAATTAAAAATTCAACAATGCT